TGAGCCCACCTTATTTACGATTAGCCGCGAGATGACGGCCGTTCTGCTATCCTGGATCTGGGGACGAGCTCGATAGCATACAGCTCCGCTATCCCAAGATTTATTTTGTATAACGTGTTTCACAAAGCCAATTACATCAGTTAGCCTATGGATCATATATTTCAATAGTGAGTAAAACGTGCTGTGGATGTTACGTTCTATACATGTTGTGAGATCATCTGCCAGCTGTCCGGCACTCCAAGTCGAAAAGCTTTTCAACAGATCTTTGAAAGATGACCAATCGTTGTTGTCTAGTCTTGGCGTATCAACCACTGCTGACAACAAACTACATTTCCCGTAGTTTCGCATCTAAATTTACTTAGTGGATTAATATTCTTCATCGTCATCTTATTTTGGCTTTCCACATTATTTTCGATCAGTTCAATTTTACCCCGCGGTAGTATCCTTCTATTTCCTCATAAGAGGCTGAGCAAAGTAGCTGGAATGCTCGCATTCCGAAACATCTTCGTTTTGTGCTAACCAATCGGATGAGATAAACAGATTATGTCAAATAACAATGACATTGGAGTTATATAAAGTGCCAGCTTATCTGATCTTCACAACGCGGATCATAGTGTTCGATCGAGTAAGAAATGGAGTTAATGGCAAACATTTTGGCGCAAATGAATTTGAAATATTTAGCTTGCATTTTAGTGTCTTCAAGATGTACAGGGTAGATTTCCTCAGGAATATCCTCTATAGATAAATTCGTTAATCAGATGGTTTCGCCTATCCTTAGACGAATCTCAGACGATTGATCCATGCGCACAGAAAGTTCGTTCCCTTAGTTAATTCCGTTCACCTAAGCTGGCTATTTGTCATCCTGTTTTAGCAAATCCTAACAAGCTTAAAGATAACCGTAATGATGATGATAATAATAGTACCAAATTAACGAATCTTAAACACTATCCGACCTGACTGGTTGCATCATCTTTCTCTTTCTCACCGAAGGTGAGCAACATATCGAGTGAGTGATACTTAATAACAGTTGGTTAAAAAATACACAATGATCTTGACCGAGAAAATTAAGTGAGTAGGNGGGGGGGGGGGGGGTCAGCCAGTGGGCACAAATCTATGGTTAACCAATGCTCATGGGGAGAAGGTAGCATGACCCTACTCATCTAAGTGATGGATGGAACCTGCAAGCCAAAACTTGGTTTCGTGCACTGTATGATATAATCAAATCCTAAGGTAGTTGTTCAGTGACAGTTCACATACACGTACGATTTTGTCATCAAACTGTGGTACACGAACAACGCATTTCAGACCGCTCAATAATAAATGACAATGTCAAATGCTCATCAACGGGTCTTTCTTGTGATTCTTCTCAGTACCGCGCTCGGGAGCACACAGTCCAGCTCACATGACATGTTTCGTTCATCTACCCAATCCACACATAAAAAAGCACGCACGCACATAGGGAGAGGCGATGCTTTCTGTTTTAGGCCTCGGGTCTAAAAAGTATGTTTCACCGAAAACCTCGGTATTCACTTAGGTCACAGCGTTTGAATTACCTTATGTTGCTCGAACCGTTAATAATGGTCTTACTGTCAGTTTTTCACGTTGGTCGTTGGGTTGTTATCGGCAGGCATCGGGAAGTGTTTCCCGTGAAGTCCAACACAGCCAACGCAACTATCGGCGATTATTCAGCATACTCGGTTATCGTGAAATGTTAGTGACACCGGCGAACAGTTTCAGCTCATTACTGCAACCATGTCATCCATAACTCAACGAGTAGGTTGGTTGGTTTGTGGATACATTCAGATGCGTTTAATACTAAAGGTTTTTGAAAGCCTGAGAATAGATACTCGAAACATGCTTGTTAAACTACGAATTACTCTCGAACTCACCTTGCGGAAACCTTGATGCGTAGATGGTGGTGGTCTAGTGGTAACGTCATCAAATTATTACTCCAGAGGACGTGTGTTTGAATCCCATCACCACCGCCTGACTCCCTGTTGTGTTATGTGGCAGCCCTTTGATTGTCCGCTTCCCCGTTCCTAAAAATGGTAGCATTATATAACCCAAAAAGGAAGTAAAAATGGAAAAACCTCTTCTGTACTGATAGTACCGGTAAGCAGATCTTCGTGGTTATGCGGTTTACCCCGTCTGCTGCTTATTTGTGTAACAAAACAGCAGTATAGTTGTCCAATTGATCCACGACTGGCTGAAATCAGGGGAGTAGTTTAAAACCAGCTTCCCTTTCGAGATATTTTGATCCAAGGTAGAAAGACCGATGGTCGTGTACGTATCGTTTCCATTTCTATCAATTTGTTATTGAATGTCGGTGAGTTTTGCAATCTGAATGATTTTTCCCGTGCATTTGGGGTGCAAATCTGGAATTAAATACAATCGATTTTCCGATCTTCAATTAGAATTGTCACACTTCGTATTTGATAATTTTCTTAATGTGGAGTAAGTTATGGCAACCGAATTCTCAATAAAGCTTGAAATTGTCGCACTATTTTCCTGTATAGCTAAGTCTGTGTTTGAGTGTGTTTCTTTGCATATTACATCTTTTGTCAGGTAGTGACAGAGACGAAGCATAATGTTACCGAAGATTCTGTGGTAGAATGTTATGTAAAGAATGAACTTGGTCACCAGCGTGACAAGGCGTTTATCAAGGTACGACCTGGTAAGTTCTGTGTGTTCTCTTCAGAGGACAATCATTTACACCTGTTTGATTCATTTCCCTCAAAAACTCTGAGATATTTCTAAATCCTAGTTTTAAGAGACTCTTGACTAAATTTCCCTGTCATTTGCTGTTTTCTAGTGTTTCTGTTGTTTTTGTTTCGTGATACTGTACACGGTATATATGTCTTATCAATGTTTTGACCATGGAAATTATACTGCAAAGTTTTCAGTAAATTTTTTATGTTACGATTATACACCACCAATTTACCCCATAGATCGAATTATCTGCTGTAATCCCTGTTTCCTGTTTGTATATCTCACTGCTACAACCCAGCCAATCAAAAACCATTAGCACTTTTGAGTGATGAGATCTCGCCTGCGGTGTTGTTTGATATCTCAGAACTATGTAGTTCTGTATTAGTTTCATTGGTTGAAACATTGGTAGTGTGTATGAGAGCTCACTGACGCTTTCGGCTCGGAACATGCAACCACTGGGTTCTGTTTTCAATTCATCAAGAACATTACGTGAAGAAGCATTGTTACTCATTTTGTAGGCTGCGTGTTCTGCTATGCATAAACTGCAGATGATCGCTAAATAAGTGTGTTGCTGCCCGATCGAATAATTGGGCTCCCTACTCGTCGCCAGCTCCGCAATGACACTTGGCGCAGGACACCCACTATGCATAGGCTGTTTTGTCCCAAACTCGCATTGTGTCGGATTGTTGAACTTATGTCCCGTGGGTTGATAGATTAAAAGTGTGCCCACAATTTTTCCTATCGTTCAAGAGCCTTGGGCTATCGTGTAATATTTATTTGGTGTGTTAACGATTATGTACTTACTGTTAGTTTACCTAGTTGCGTTGAATCCTTCTTTTTTGCATGTATTACACTAAAACAATGGATAAATCAACATGTTCGGGAGAGGTAACATAACAGTAGTTTAAGATGTGTATGGAGGATGACTTCTGGAGATAGTAAAATGTTTGTGCTTGTTAAAACAGTGGAAAACACTTCTCCTTAGTTGAAGGGTCGAAGAAAAAATGATAGCACTTGGATGGTGATGTTAATTACAATACACTATTTGCAATTTTTCTATCAACTGCTTTTCACGGAAACAGGGAGCTCTTCCGTATTTCCTGGTTCTCTTCATCTCCCATGTACCTGTTGGACCATTTTTTACTTACTCAGTCCTGTTGATTTTTGCATTGGCTTCCCCCAGTTGAATCTGCTAATGGTCGGTACGTACTCTTTATAGTTCTGATGGATTGTAAGCAATGTGCCAAGGCTCTTATAATCACGCTGCAAAATCCTAAACAAAACGAAACACTCAAAATGTATGAAGTGAATGCTTCTTGTCGGTTTTAGCCACAAAGTCCTCTTGATTTTGCGTCTCCGTGTACCTAATAATCATAGCACTTTAGAAATAGACTGAACTGTATAAGTCTGTTTTTTCGCGTCAAACTATTTGGTATCTGAATTGTCTGCAACACTTGCTGTACGCCACTTGACGGTTGTAAATCCCGAGCATCCCTTCATTCTTGCTTTATCTAGGTTCGAAAGCTTGGGCGCAAAAATTCGGTCCTCCTACCGGGTAAGTTTAATAAGTCGACTGGCTTATTTCATATACTTCGTTATATATGTATTCCATGTTTTTGATAAACTGGTATGCTGGAATAATCTTCACGGATAACTCGGCTTGTTGGACCAGCCAATACCAGGTAAACGCAACAATCTGATCCTTATGGACAAAATATATTGATCACGAATGCAGTTATTCAGTGAAATCATAAAATTCATCGTACTGCCCCCAAATCTGATCGACCTCGCTTTAAAGTAAATAGATCTAGGGTTTGAGTGAATCATTTTTGTGGACATCGTACTGGATTCAGCAGCACAGGAGGTTGTAGTCATAGTGCTGTCGTCACAGAACTTTCCATGACTCTCTACATTCTCACCGATTTATTTGGCTCAGCCCAGCAGCACACGCTTCGCCGTACTTGCTGCATTGCTGATAAACCAAACCACACATTGTCTTGGTCTTTTAATGGAGCAATAATGTCAACACGCCTGTTCAATTTTTGCCCATATTTGATCATATCGTAAATGCATTTTTTTACTGTCCAAACTATCGAATGCTTTAAACATATACTCAATTATTGGTGAATGTTATTCATTTCATCACAAAGTCTGTTTTGCCCCTATCTTGCTATCGTTTGGAACTCGTTGACTAGTACATGCGCTATACTCGTTCCGTTTGTTGTCAACTTTTTTTACAGAGACTATTGTCAACCTTATTCAGTGGCCCTGAATAGCTCTTCCACTTGTTTTCATTTCTTGGACGAATTGTCGAAGTTGGATTCACAGCCTTATCTTGTATCCCGGTCGCGTTTATCTTTCGCGGAAAATGTCGAACAGGCATTGACCAAATTGTTCCGTGCGTGGGATCTTCTCCTTATAGAGAAGCAATCCTTGGCCAGTACCCAGACAGACGTCACCAGCTCCGATTCGATTCACTCGGAGCAACATGCAGTTTCTTTTACCGCATGGCGATGTGTCGATTGGGCCAAGCGGCTAACATGCGCACTTGCCTATCCCCGATGTCGATCATTGGATTCTACATCGAGTGCTTCCAGTCGACCAAACAAGTTCTACGAGGACTATCCTATTTGTCGGTACGAGGGATCATTCCATTCTAATTTCAGTTTTTTGTCATTTGGGATGACCCAAATGATTGAATGGTCAATTTTTTAATGATTCACTGCGGGACACTCAGAAATCGTTTCTTCGATCAACGGGAGTCATTGCTTTAACCAACTACTAAACTAATTCCTACTTCAGTTACGTTGGTCTCATAAATGACGTAGCTCCTGATTTCCGTGTGAGAAAGTGAACAGGTTCTAACTGAATGGTGTGAGTCGATCATTTACCGATCTATAAGAAATGTGATGAGTCCTCTTGTGAAAATCACATAAGAATTAGTTTTATCAAAAATTGTCTTCAAACTTCGTCGATTGACCGAGGTTATGTCAATCACTTCTTCACTGTTCGCCAAATTCCGGAACAACAACATGCTTCCCAGAGACTTACGATTTTTTTTTCCTCAATCTGAGAGCGATGTTAGACTATTCTCAGGCGCTGCCTCCCTCTAAGGCATGTACCCGATAAGTTTATTTGAGTATTACGATTTCTTTATACTGATCACCGAAGCTGAGCTGGAGCTTTTCGCCCGAGTTCATCAAAGAAATTGGTGTTTTTCAGGGTTGCTCTTTTTCTCTTGTTCTATTTAGCTTCTTGATAGATTTGATTCTAGATACGGACCTAGCCTCGTGCGAATATGGTGGGGTCGATTTTCTCCCCGGTGACAAACTGTCCGATCTTGAATGTGTGGATGTGACATGGTGCTACTAAATGAAGGTCCATGCTTCGCAAATCATGGAACGCTTTTCTTTTTTATAGAGATTTTTGGACCATGATTTGTTTGGCACACCGTCTGGCGTCAGACGTGTGTGAAATGATATTAATATTATTTAGTGAAGTTCCAGATAAGTTGCGGGCGTTTCTGAATAGTTTAAGTGCTAGTGTAGCTATTTTCTTCATTCGTTATGCAAGCTCGAAGTAAGATGTAGTTACAAAACTTGGTTGGTTCAGCTCCCATCCTCACTCCAACCGCCGAAGTAGTAGGGAAAGTAGAGAGATTTTAATATTGGATCAGCTGTATCTCACATAACGGATGCATCAGGGACGGAGTGTCTGTCCGATTGGCATTAGCGAACTTGCGCTATCTCTGGTCCCATCGCGACATACGGCTCTCTATGACGGGTCGAATATAAGCGGCAGCAGTTTGCTCAGCGCTGCCATACAGCGCAGAAGCGTTGTCATTTCAAAAACAGAGTAATGACAGACAGTAGTTGTTTGAACACTGCTATNGAACACTGCTATCTACCCCGCATCAGAGTCCTCACATTGAAGCCCCCAGAGCCAGTGTTTGACGAGGCTTCAGAATCTGCAATCTATTTTGTAGTAAACCACTTACCGGGCCACTTGGCGACGAACTTTGGCAAGTGACGAACAAGTTGTCTGAGGGGATGTTACGGGTTGGAAAAAGGGGTAATGTAACAGGGTTGGGAACGGAAGACAAATAGTTAAACAAAAATTGGGATATCTGAGCATCGGTCTACTTATCACTACATACCCCGCTCGATGCCGTGGGCAACGCGGTCCTGGTTAACCTACGCGACGACCGAATCATTTTAATTTTATGTGTGCATTAGAGTTTGATGGGCGGGTACTGCCTGGGTGTCCAGTCACCAAGCAGAACGATTAGGGTTCTCGTCCAAAGCCTTTAATTCTGACAAGAACCTAACCACAAGGCAGCGGGTGAAGCGAAGTAGAGGCCCATTTACTTGAATCTATTACTCGTCTACGATTTTACCGATCGAGACGCTAACTCTAGTCGAACCCTCAACCTGGAGGACCAAGAGACTAAACTTCGTCTGACCTCTACCCTTGGACCTTCCAAACATGATTAGATTTGCGGTTTGACAAAAGCCGTGTAGCTCGTTGAGTCATAGAGGTGCACAGGCCATCACACCACGTCAAGATGCAGTCTCGTCGTGATGGAATCGCTCCTCAGATTCATAATTCTCTATTTACGCAACGCATTTTGAAAGAAGTGTAGACCTAGTTGATTCGATGCAAGTTGAGTTTTCTGTCTAATGAACTGAACTTACCGATGGTTTCTTCTGGTATGATTGTCACACGAGACGCGGATGTTGGTGTAGGTATGTTCTCTTAGCTGAAAGTGTTGTTCACAGACGTTTCCTAGCAAGGTTAGGCAACATCATCAGTGCAACTTCGGGGTTGTGTCTCTTCATGTGCTTCTCCGATTCGGTGTTCTTACATATAGACTAAGTGACTTACCGCGCTGCGTGTTGGTGAGGCTAGATCTTTGTATGGACGGTNACGGTGGTCATATTTGAGATCAGACCAAGCGGTTCATTCGAAGCACCTTCTGATAAGTCTGACTGTTTGGAGGAAAGTTTGCTGTCAGGATTGTCTCAGACTGGTAAATAATTCGTAAAAGTGGAGAAGAAAATTAAGACTTCCTCTCGTGTAATGCTTGTGATATTCACGTGATATTTTGAACCCAGCGTTTTTAAAAGCCTCACTTGGAAATTCCTTCGTGTCATGTAGCAAGCGATACTGCGAAAATTACTTTCAAAATAGTCCTTTATTCGTAAAAGTATAGGAACCTAGTCGAAGTTTCGGATTCCACAGTCTGTCCAACATCACAATGGCTCGCAATTTCATCGCGAGAATGCAACCGATGTTTTCATGCTCAAGCTTCTGTAAGCTTGCCATGTGGAGCCTTGAACGTATTTTTGCGTTGTTTTCAATGGTGAACTTACTGTCCACGAAGTTCAACGAACCCTTTCAATCTTCATTGGAGGTGGTAAATCAAGAGTAAAAACCGGCATCTGTGTTCTATCGTAACTCTGTGTTGGTAATATCATTCAACAATTTGGTTTATCAAACGATTTTCATCACTGTTTCTGTGTGTAGGGCAGATTGTTTAACTGTCACCGGATTGTTTTGTCTGGCGCGCTTGGACGTTTCATGGAATATGTCGGCTTTGGATCCGCTCGATTTTGACAAATACGGGTCACAGGAACCAGATCAAACAGGTTGGACCCAACTGCTTGATGTCCCAGAGGCCCGAAGTAGTCATCTTCCCATAGGCGAGTTAGCGAAACAAATACACAGTGCCAGATCAAGTGTGATACGCACCTGTTTCGATCACCCGGGTTCTAGCCCAGTTGATTCGTCCAGGCACGTGTGTACACGGCTTCCCTTGGAGACTGCACACATTTCTCATGATAGCAAGCTTCGAAGAAAAAGCAATCAATCCTACATAAACCCCAGCACCGATGACAGTAAGTTATACTGTTCTTTTGTTTTGTGGTTGATTGATAAAGCAAAACTGAAGTTTTATTGTTCCTGTCTGTGTCTGTATCGATTTCTTAACAGTGTTGTATCTGTTTTCTTATGTCACGACTTTTCGGGCCCATTGGGTTTTTGTGTGCTTGTTGATTTCCTAGGGTTCCGGTCCTCAGCCTGTCGTTCGGGTCATGTGCTTCGGTTTTCTGAGACTAACTTTCCCACTGGCAGACCTCACCCATGCACTCAGATCATCTGTCACAGGGCGTTATCATGTGGAATGGTTCGTTTCTTTTTGTGAAACATTTACCTATCATCCTTGCAAATAAACCAAACAATGTTAAACAGGAACTATGCATACGCGCTATGTTTCATCATACTTTCGGCCATAGTTACGAGCCGAAACTCATCCTGTCCATTTCCGTTCAACTATGAAGTCGCTTAGACCTTTTCTGCACTTCTCGGAATGCTCGCTTGTACACACACACACACACACACTCGTAATAAGTAGTAT